TTCCAAACAGGCCACAAAATCTAGAAAATGTGGCCTCCCGAGAAAACATCGGAAGTGATTACACCTTCGGTGTCGATTCGTTGATTTTGGGGGCCGCAGAAGGCCCCCCCCTTTGGGGCGTCGCCACGTCATGCTATGTCATGCTACGCGTTGATCTTCAACACCATACTCTGCCATGTACTGCTACGTCATGCTACGACATCCGATTGTGCGAATAGGGAGGAGATCTACGCCATGGTAAGGGATGGGAGGGAGGGGTAGGACGTCAGATATGACGCGAGCGCGCCTAGCTTTCCCTACCCCCTCCCCTGGACCTGGACGGGGGGGGCGCGAGGGGCTAGAGCGCCCAAGATGGCCCAAGATGGCTCCAAGAGGGCCTCGGGTAGCCCAAGATGGCCTCCAAGATGGCCCAAGAGAGCCGAAGATGCTTCAAGACAGCTTCCGACATGCCTCCAAGAGGCCCCAAAAAGGCCACAAGATGGTTCGAGGTGCCCTCGGAGACCCCTCGGGACCTCCCCGAGAAGCCAAAGTCCTTCAAGAGGAAAAAATGTGCCATCTCGCCTTCTCGCTTCCGATGCGTTTTCGAGGCGTCACGGTGGCCCCAAGATGGCCAAAACGACCTCCAAGAGGGGCCCAAGATGCCCCCAAGACGGCCCCAAGACCGCCCAAGAGCGCCCCAAGAGAGGCCCAAGAGCGTCCCAAGAGGTTACTTTGATTGCCCCGGAGGGGGGGGGGAGGGGGGCAAACGTTAGGGCTTTCACATACACCCTCCACGACAGCCCGAAGAGGCCCTCCAGGGCTCTCAAGAGGCCCCCAAGAGCCCCAAGAGAGCTCCAAGAGGGCGCCACGATGGCCCCAAAGCGCCCCAAAAGAGCCCCAAGAGGACCCAAAGACCCCCCTGAGAGCCCCAAAGAGGGCCCCAAGATGCCCCAAAAGAGCTCCAACAGGACCCCAGTATCCCCCTATAAAGCCCCATAGCTCCAAAAAGGCCTCCTATGCTCCAAGATAGCCTCCAAGATGGCTCAACACCTTCCTCCCCCTCCTCTCTTTGACCGCTCTGTGTCACTATATGCGTCTCTGCTTCCCACTTCCCGTCAACTCTCGTGGGCAGGGCTTCTGGATGGGCTGGTAGGGATTCGCGAAGCGTAAACAATTATAGCTTTTGTCGGCATGCACCCCGGGAGGGGGAGGAGAGGGGGAGGAGGATGCAAGCCCCTCGAAGTTGATGGCCCCGCACTCCGTGAAAATATTGCCGAGTCGACCTTGGGGTGGATGGGGAAGGGGGTTGCAAGAACACGTAAGCAAATCGACCAGATCAGTTCGACAAAGAAGAACGATCGAAGGGCCATGTGGCACTTGTAAGTCCCCTGCGCACCGCGGCTTCTGGCGCCGCGACACGCCGCGACACGCCGCGCCGCCCCCCGCCGTAACCGCGGTGCTCGAACCGAGGCTGCGGAGCACAGCGCCACGGCCGAGGGAGCAGGATAGACCATGCAAGAAAGCTCACGGCAACGTCAGAGACGGATCACGACAGGAGTAGATGATGGCACTACGCCGTGCATGATTCAACACGTGCCACTTGCCCACGGACCACGCGAGCGCTCCACGCGCGCGCAGGGCCTGGTCTCTCGGAGCCCAGCCGGACTCGTCGTGGCTTCCCCACGTGCTTCCCCTGCCCGAGAGCAGCAAGAGCGGGCAGAAGGGACAACGGTAGCGGGGCGCGGCCCTGCCGTGCGCGAAGGGCGCCCGTGCACCGTACCATGTTTGGACTCCCGCGAGGCCCCGCTCCAGCGCGGTACGGCGCATAGTTGATCGGCTGCCTGGGCCGACGATCAGGGACACCTGGATGGGCGCCAACGCGGTACGGGGCGCACATGTCGTCCGCGGACACCGTTCCCCTTCAGCGGTTGTGCGCTACGAGACTGGAAAAACAAGCGCCGTCCTACACGGGTCCGCGTTTGGGGCCTCCTCTGCCAGCAGGGAGGGGCACATGATAGGTGCATTACGCGGACACATACCGGGGGCCAACGGCGGGCTCCTTCCCTTGTTGTCTTGTTATGATGGCCGCTGTGCAGCTGTCAGTGGCATGCCACCAACTTGAGTCTGCAAGCAGCACGCAGAAGCGTCAGCACATCACTGCAAAGTACTGATGGATGGAGCTGGGCTCTCAGCCAACCTCCATGTTGGTCCCTTCATCCCCAATCTGGGCGTTCCCCGAATAATATGGCGTTCACAATGCGGCGACTGGCTCCCGGATTGAAGCTTCAGTGGAATCTGCTTCATGGCAAGCATCAGCAGCAAGGACGCACATTTGTCTTGTTTCACTGGCGTCATGAGCTACCCAACTAGCTACCTGCAAGACTCCTCAATCAAGGGATCCAGAGCAACTCTTTCACATCCGTGCAATGCAATCGCAACATGAAGACTAAAAATGCCAACGATGCAAGTACACTTGAACAGCACCTGCTGACTCCATCTTTCGCGCGGATTTGCGCCGTGGACTGTTCTCTCTGGGTCCCCGGGCCCGGAACAAGCTCCATGAGGACATGCAACCTTAAACCCCGGCGCCAGCGTCGGCGTGGCGTCGACGAGGCAGGCACCTGCCGCACAGAGGCTCAAACGTACTTTCCGCAGCGACCTCTGGGGACAAACAAAAACAGCCCTCCGCGGCCGTCCCACGCCCAGCTGGGCGGCGGCTGGCAGCTGGGAGGCAGCCGCCTCCCCCGAGATCCCCCCGGAGCGCCACGGGAGGGAAGGCCGTGCTGCATGTCCAGGGGCGCGAAGTAGAGGGCAAAAAATCCACCCCCATAAGAACCACCCCGACACGCGAAGCCGTTTACTAAAACCCCCCACTGAAGGAATCGAACAGGGCAGGGCTGTTCAAGAAACGCCCAAGGCCGTTTAGCAAAGGCCAATTGTCCCATGTCTGGGTGGCTTTTCCTCCCTTGACAAAGGGAGAGTGTGGAGAGGATGAGGACGGGAATCGGTGGCGAGCCCGGGGGGGGGAAACGAGAAGGGGCGGGCCTTCTCGGAGGGCTCTCGCCATCGCTCGGACGTCCATTCCGTGTGCTTTTTTCGGTTTCGTGCGTGGTGTTTTCGCCAAATGATCAAGGATGCTCCTCGAAGGTCCTCGCCGAGAAAAAAATGCACACGTCCGAGCGATGCCAGGGGCTCGAAGTCCCCCGGCCCCCTGCGAAGTGCTCTGAGCCTTCCCCGAAGGCGCAGACGACCTCTCAGCAGGCCGGAGGGCCTCTGAGAAGCCCTGCCGCCTCCTCGGCGGTGGAGACACCTCCCTTTAGGAAACCACCCTTTCGTGAAAACAGCCTCGGAGCGAAACCGACGGACGTGGACCCGCAAAAAGGACGGCCGCGACGCCCTCTCGCGAAGCCGAAAACGGCCAATTCGCTAATCGACGTGTCAGGGTAGGAGGTCTGTCAACCTCCGACCTTCTAAGAAGGCCGTCTCCTTCTCGCTTCCCCCCGGGGCGCGCCGCCGAAAGGAGACAGCCACGGGAGGGGGAGACCGAAAGAGTCTGCCGTCGCCGCGAGGGCGGCCCAACTAGGGCGGCAGGGGTGCTGCGCGGCAGGCGGGCCTCCAAGGAGGAAAGATACGCAGTAGACGGGTGGAACGATTAGAACAACGCGTGCACATACACTGTACACATACAGCCAAAAATATGATGACACCGGAGAAAGCCCCAATCTGAATATTTTTAGGGCTATAGGGCTATAGGGCTCTAGGGCTGTAGGGCTATAGGGCTATAGGGCTACAGGGCTATTGAGCTATAGGGCTGTAGGGCTATTGGGCTATGGGGCTATGGGGCTATAGGGCTATAGGGCTATGGGCTAGGTACCCGGGCACATGGGCACCCGGGCACCTGGGCACCCGGGCACCGGGGCACCAGGAGTTCGGCGGCCAGCGCACCTCACCTGGGCAACCGGGCACCCGGGCATGCCGCCGAAATCGGCGGCGCACCTAACCTAACCATATGAATCCACTAGAACCCCTGCGGAGGCAAGCTCTGATTGGGGAATCAAGATCGTATACTTTGGGAATATGGGCAAGTTGCCTCCAAATTTCTGACAAAGAGCCTGGGCAAATGTCTATTGTTGACACTGGAGGCGCGATTTCCGGCAAGTTGGTCGAGAAACGCTGGCCCAGCCTTTCGGGAGGAGGTTTCTTAATCAAATGCTCGGCTGTATGTATTATGACATATGGGTGTAGCAACTTGGCGAGACAGGTATTACCCGTCGTTGGGAAGAAGCCGGCAGGAACACACGAAGCAGGAGCGTGATAGCAAACTGGGGTGCGGCCCGTCCCCCGAACTGGAAGGAAGCAGGAATGCCAAACGACTCATGACACAGAATGGCGCTTGAAGTACATCGACACCTGGGTCTCCAACAACACCGGCGAACGATGGGTGAAGCGGATGCGATGTCAATCTTGCCCAGGCGTGGTCTTGTGTCGCCGCACCGCGGTCTCAAGCGCGGGCCAGACTCAGAAGACCAAGCAGCCACCTCGCGGAGGCCCCGCTCGAGATCTGCGCGGCCCAAGCCGCACCGCGGCCTCAAGCACGGGCCGGACTCAGCAGACCGCCGGGCCGACTGCGTGTGCAGCCACCACGCTGCCTCTTCCTCGAGGCACGGCCCCATCCCCCTCGGAATGCGACACACGCCGGCAGGCCGGACTCAGGAGCCACGGCCTCCTGGCACCTCCTCCCCCCC